GATTCTCTGAGTGGTACAAACCATTGTTACTTGGCTGCTAACTGAAAGGTTAGAGGCTTGAATCTACCCAAAAGTGCCTCAGATGAAAAGCCTGGTGATTGACTGCAAAAAAAAAAAAAAAAAAAAAAAAACAATTGACTGCAAAAAAAAAAAAAAAAAAAAATCAGCCATTGAAAACCCTATGGAGCAAAGTTCTACTCTACTCATGGGGTGTCCATGAGTGGGAATCGACTTGAAGACACCTGGTGATATACACAGAGGAGCCCTTAAATTTTTCAAAACACTTTCACATGTAATATCTCATTTTGTCTTCAAAATCAGTTTGTGTGAGCTTAAAAGAGCAATAATATAATCTCCATTTGACTGAGAAGCAAAACAAAAAACAAAACAAAAGTCAGAAAGGCTAAGTAACTTGCTTAACGTCATATAACTGATTATTAGCACTGTGTGGAGAGGAAAGAAAATGAGCTTTGGAGTTTGGGTTAGAATCAATACAAGCAAACTATTTAATTTCTATGAGGCTCTGTTTTGTTTTTGTTTTTTTTTTTGTCACAATTAAATAACATTTGTAGAGCACCTCTTATATGTTTGGCATATACTCAAACCAAACTCACTGCCATTGACTCAATTCTGATTCATAACAACCTCCATTGTGTTTCCAAGGCTGTAAATCTTTATGGAAGCAGATTACCTCATCTTTCTTCCACTGAGGCTGGTAGTTTTGAACCACTGGCCTCTTAGCAGCCAGATGCCTTAACCATTACACCACCAGAGCTCCTTTGGCATATACTAGGTGCTCAATAAATGATCATTCTCTTCCTTCCCATTTTCTTCCTTATTTTTCTACTTCTGAGCTCAGAGCTCTTTACACTACCACAGTGCTACCTGTAGATTGCTAAGTAAATTTGACCCCTCCCTTAACCTCTCTAGAACTGTTTCTTTATCCATATTATAAAAGGATTGGACTAAATTATTTGTATGGTCCTTCTCACCTCTGACAGCTGTGGTCTTATGAAAACAGGTTCTTGCTCCAGCATTAGGAAGCCCACACTATTGTCTCTCACATCCAACAGCAGAGGGCGTCGGGCACCATTTATGGTCTGTGTGGAACAAATAAGCAGGGAAGTTCACAGAGCTTTGTAAGAGCCAACCCAGTCACCTTATTCCCTTTCTAAAGGCAACAGAGGAGACCAAGGTTTATTCTTTATTTATTTTATAGATGGGGAAACTGAGGGAAGCCATTTGATCTTAATCTCATAATAGGATGAGCTATGAAATACTGGAGGGCCTTCTGGAGTTTCTGCTAATTAAATTGAATTGCGGCTTATCCCTTAATTGTTCATTAACTGGCCTAAGGTAGACTATATCTAGGGCTTTTTTTTTTTTTTTTTTTTGCGTAGGGAGTTGAGGGGAACACTACTAGCAGCTCTCCAGTTGGATTTCAGATTCCTCTCTGGACAAACACAGAAACACAGACACACTTCCAGAAATTGCTCTGAGAAGAAGTCTAAATCTTTGGCTTTGGGGATTTAAACAGAAAGGAGTATTATTTCTAATGCCTTCACCATGGCCTCCAGGACCATGCTGGGTACAGAGAAAACACCCAAAGACAGGAGAGATTGCCCGTACTCTAACAGGGTTGAGGAATTAAGCTAGTGTGTAATTACAGCCCAGTGACTGCCCATCAGGACCACATCCCGCCCTTACCTCCATTCTCCAGAAGAAGCTTTACTGGGGAGAGGCCTAGGAAAGTCTGTCTTCAATCTCTTCCTTATTCTAATTCTGCTCCTTAGCAGCTCCACCTGATACACAGGGTAGGTCACCTCTGGAAAGTCCAAATAATCCTTCTTCCCTCTCCTCTAACTCAACCTCCTTTTCCCTGTCATTTCTGTCCCAGATGAGGCACAACTCCTGCTAAGACACTTTGGGGAGGCCAGGCGCTCCATGAGTTCTTTCATTCTCATTGGTCTGTAAGTCTTCACATCTCTAGTTTCAGGGGATGGTTATTTGTCTTCGACAGTTCAAGTGCTCAGGCTTCGTGCTGGCAAAGGCAGCCTGCTCCCCACCCAAGGATGTAAATTTTCATGAGCCTGACAACGGGCCACAAGTTGCTAGAGAATGACCAGGATAGCTGCCTCTCCACCTGTCAGATGCACTGGTAACAATCTAAGGATGGAATCCAAAGCCCCCATGCAAGTCTAAATACTCAAAAGGCAGTATGACAGCTGGCACATGGGTGCACATCAAGCAGTATAAGCTCCTGGACAATGTTCAAGGACAATTCTACAAACCAGAGCTCCCTCTAGATCATCTTCCCTCACCTAGGACTGACTGGGCAACGTTCCTCAGTGATGTTAGAAAAAATATTCAGACATGAGGAGAGGCTAAAACAAGACTTCCTCCTCTGCTAAGCCCCACAGTTCAAAAGTTGAGTCCCTGCCAAGAAACCTTCCACACCTCAGACACCAGAGATCTTACACTGCTCTGTGATGAAAAGAGAAAGTCATCTTCGGTATGCAAACATCCTAAGAAATAAAACCTGTGTTCCTGGAGAAAAGAGAGCAGCATAAGCCAGGTCCAATTCACAGGGAACACCCATATGTGGAAGTCTACTGAGCTTATCCTTAAGGCAGATCAAAGTTTTATAACTCTGTATCCCCTGAACCTAGTGAACGCATTGTATAATGCCGTCACACAGCCCGTTAAACACTTGATGATTTACTGAGTATCCTGTAAATCAGCCTGGACAGTGGTCTTTGCTCATGGAGCTTTAAATAAGAACCCACAAAATTATCTCATAATTTCTGTAGAAGTTTTCTTTCCATAGGAAATTTGCCTGATAGAGCTCTTAAAAATTGGAATAAGAAAAAAATATGAATAGGCTCACACTTCTAACTCCAGTTTTACTTTCAAGGGATAATACAGATTTCTGCAGTCCAGAAAGTGGGGAGGGAAGATAGAGATTACAGAAAGGATGGGAAACATCAGAGTATACTGATAACCCAATACAAAAAATGCTTTATGCCCCTAGACAGACACACATACAGCACTGAACAAGCTCCTGATGGGCAACGGAGCTTTATGAACACATCACTACTTACAGTATGGGAGGTGCCATGTGCTCCATATGCCCTGATGCTGGGACCAGAAAACCCCACCCTAAAGTCCTACGGGTAGCATGACTTTGCTACTCACTTGCTACTGGATTCCAAAAGTTTTAGAAAGGATGGGGCCTCAGGAGTTCAAAGGCTCAAGCTCGCTCCTCTTCACCCACATACTTCCCATTTTTGTTTGATTTGTTTGAGTATTAGGAAGAAAAGACAAGAATTAGCTGTAGTCTACTGTGTCTGTCAAAAGCCAGCTTTAAGTAGAAGAAAAAGGAGTAAGCGGATTATAAAAGAAAGCAAATGGAGAAAAAGGAAGGCAACAGATGAACTGCATAGCAAAATATTTATTAATCTGATTCTGAAGGCAAAAGAAGAGATTTGTTTTAATGGGTTACCTTCCTATGAACCCTGGAACCCTCCAAAGCCCTGAAAGGGTCCTTCTGAAAGTGCTGTGAGGTAGATCAGAGCTGTTTCATGTCTGAAGTGAGGGAGGCTGGTGCTTAGAGAGCCGTAGTGAGTAAGCCAAGGACAAAATTCCAAACCGCGACTTTTTCAGCATTCTGCTCTCAGCCTGGGCCACAGAGCCTGGGGAGTGGTTCATCAGGATCTGGGCAGCAGAAGGAATGAGTTAGGGGTGCTCTCTCTGCCCTGAGCACATAGCATGAAAGTGAGCAAAGTGATGGGTTCCCATGCCATAGCCAGCCGGCTGCTCTAAGAGCAGTTAAGCACAGATAGCCTGACCTACCAGCTGCTGAGGTAGTGGTGAAGTTCAGGAATAGGCATAGTGCCTAAGGCATTTGACTGCTAACCAGAAGGCTGGCGGTTCAAACCCACCAGCCACTCCTCAGAAGGAAGACTGGGCAATCTACTTCCGTAGTGATACTGCCTCGGAAACCCAAGGAGGGGTCGCTATGATTTGGATCCAACTTGAGGGCAGTGAGTTTGGTTTGGTTTGATTTTTCTCAGAGAGAAAAGAGGGAGGGGAAGCCTCAGAGAATGGTGAAAACCCACTTGTAAGGACTCTGTCTTCCCAGCGTGCTCCCTCCACCCAACTCCCATGGCCTAGTTATTGAGTTCTGAAGGGTAGAGTTTTTCAGTTGAGAAATTCCACCAGGCTCATTCTGAACAGAGGCCAGAAGCTTTCCAAAGGTTCTGGATCAACGGAGCTGCAGTTTCTTGTCCTTTAAGGCCTAAGAAACTCCTCAGGAAGCCCTAAAAATGGAGATAACGTATCATGGGGTGACAGGGCCAAAGGTGGGAAGAGGAGAGGCAAAGAAAAGGGGCACAGGTTAGAGACCCTGAAAACCATATTTACACAGAAGCATATGGGCATCACCCAGCCAAAAACCTCCTTCCCTCCACCTCCAACCCAACCCTCTCCCAGAGGAATTAGCACTCACAAGTTTCTCATTCGCCTCTATACTTCATACCGAAGTGGATTCTCACCATCGTAGCCATCAAACCTTTGAGAGAAACCAGAGCTGAGGAGCAGGGGTTGGGAGAGCCTCTTTGCAAGTTGAAGCCAGCCCTAGTAATGGCGAGATATCTGGGCTGCCACAGAATTGAGGGAAACCAACACTATAGCTGACCTGGCAGGGTCAGTGCCTCGGGTCCCGGAAGTACTTCACCGGACACACCCTTGGTCCTGGGGTGAAGAACAACCCGCTCTCCCTCCTTTGCTTTTACCTTTGGACAGGGTGGCTCAGAGGCGGGAAAGGAAAGGGCCTTAGTACCCATTTTGGTTCCCCACATCTGTTTTCACCTTCCCTGAATGCAGAGACACTCCGCAGCTCTACCACTTCCTACTGAATTCCAAACTCAAAAAGTTGACCAAGGAACTGGAACACTGAATTCTTCCTGACCCCAAGCCACTAGTCCCTCCGCCCCATTTACCTACCGGCCGAGTGGTGGGCACTGCCTAGATTCCGCGGGGCTGGTCAGGGCCGCAGGGATACCAGAGGGGTCGCGGGCCCAGGAGGGAACTGCGCGAGGCTCCACCCGCCGGCAGCGACCGCAGCGGCACAGCAATCGGCGGAAGGCGCTGCGAAAGTCCGGGCTGCGGCAGTAGATGAGCGGGTTGAAGGCTGAGTTAGCATAGCCCAGCCAGTTGAGGGCGAGGAAAACCGGGCTGGGAACCAAAGAAGGGCCCCCGACGGCGCGCACCACATTGGCCACAAAGAAGGGCAACCAGCAGAGAGTGAAGGTGCCCATGATGAGACCCAAGGTGCGCAGGGCCCGGTGTTCCCCAAGAGGTAGAAGGCGCGTGGGCCGCCGGCCGCAGGAACGCACTCCTGCGGGTGAAGCGCACTGTCCTACCGGAGCTGGGGGACGAGAGGGAGACAGAGCAGGCGGGGAGTCTTCTGGTGGGAAGCGGCCCAGTTCCCGGCGCAGCAAGAGCAATTGGCGCGTCGCCACGATGTAAACTCGAGCGTAGACGAAGAGCATAACAAGAAGCGGAAGGTAGAAGGAGACTAAGGAGGAGAGCAGTGCGTAGGGCATGTTGGAGGCGAAGGCGCAGCAGCGCGGATTGGAGTGGCAACGCTGCGCCTCGGCGTCGACCCCCACGCGCCACCACTGGCTCATGATAGGCGCAAATGACACTGCGACGGACACGACCCACACTAGGACCACGGCCGCCCGGGCTCGGCGCTTGGTGACCAGTGCGCCATAACGCAGCGGGTTGGTCACAGCCAGATAGCGGTCCACGGCCAGGGCGCACAGGGTTTCGATGCTGGCCGTCACGCACAGCACATCCACAGAGGTCCACAGCTCGCAAACAGTGGCGCCTAGGGGCCAGTGACCAGTAAGCGCCAAAATGGCCCCCGGGGGCACTACTAGCAGCCCCACCACCAGGTCGGCTGTGGCGAGAGAAGTCACGAACACGTTGGTTATGGTCTGGAGTCTTGGCGTCCGGGCGATGGCCACGATCACCAGCAAGTTGCCTCCCACGGTCGCCAGCACTGCCAGTGCCAACAGCACTCCTGCCAATGCCGCCGCCCACGGCACTCCTGGCAGCCCACTCGTATTGGCGGCATTGGGTGCCAGGGTGGGGGCGTCTGGCCACAAGGCCAGAGAGCTATTCCCATGAGGCCACGGAGCCATCCCGCGGTTGCGCGTGGGGCGTGGGGGGCAGTGGAGGGTGTCGCCCAGCTCACCTGGCTCAGGGGAGGGGACAGCGGGGCGTGGGAGCGACTCCCCTGGCCTGAGCCATCTCCCCTCGCAGACCCGGTCAAGGACGCTCAGTTCCCCCCACCCCCGACTCCCTCCGTGCTACTGCTCAGGGGAGGAGTGACGGCACTTAAAGGAGCAGCAGCCAATAGTCTCTCCGCGCGGCCTCGGGACGGGAATCCGAGGGAGGGAAGGGAGGCGGGATGGATGCTCAACTTTTTTTTTAATTTATTTTTTTATTTTTAGCCAAATCTGGAGTAACCGACTCCTTGACATCCCTGCAGGGATTTGGCCACCTGCGCCATAGCCAGCTCCCCAAACTCAGCACTGCGCTCCCTCCACACTGGTTTCCTGGAGCTCTGCAATTCCGTCCCCTAACGGTAGTTGGGTAGCTGTAGAGCAGCTACTAGCTATGCTCAAGGAAGGATCTTGGAGAACTCCTCTTCAGGTGTCAGAGAAAGGGGCACCTTCCCACAAGGCAAACAATGATTCACAGTAGCCTCTCATCTACTTGGATAGTAGATGAGTACCCTTCCCTGCGGTATTTTAAATTAAGTAATAGAGGGCAGCCAGCGTCTTCTCTCCTCTCCCAAGACTTCATTCCACTGAGATTTATCCCTTTTCTCTTTTGCTATTTCACTTGCCATCCAGTTTTCTGTTCTTTATCTTTTTAGCTACTAGGGAAATTTTTCCTTCTCGGGAGCCTTTATCATTGCCTGTCCATTTTCATTTGGATTTGGCATTATGTAGCCGTGGATGCTGAAGAGCTTTGATTTCTCCAACTTCCCCACTCCACACTGCCCTTTCTGCACACCTTTCCACCTAGAAATTTTCTAGATAGACTTTTTCTTAAAATACTTCTGTCGTGAGGATACACTAAAAATAGATGAATGGGGATGAACTTTTGGTTTGAGATTGAGACTAATCCACCATCACCATCCACTTACCCAAAACTCTTCCATCCCCTTCCTTCCCCAATGGTAAAATGTTCATTCCACTTCCTTGAAGATTCTATTTATGGACTTTAAAAAAACAAGGATACATTGATTTGAGGAATTCACATACTGCATCTTGGGGTGTGTAGAAAGTATTTTAATGCTTCTTGAAGCCTTTCATCCAATCCTATTCAGAAATTTCCCTCACTGAAGAAGTCCAGAATTTCCTATACGCATCCTCTCCTCAGCACTGAGACTTAAGGCTTAATTCTACCACGAAGCTCTCCCAATCTCTAAGCCAGTTTCTCTCAAATTGAGTGTGGGGATCCCATTTCGAGGAGTGGAAAATGACCCCTGGGGTTAACATTGAGGGGCAGGAAGATATGGTATGTACCTTTATTAAGGCCTATCAGGACCTGATCCTTGAACTGTCTTTATTCCTCCCCTGAAACAATGGGGCAAAAGAGGGAAAAAATATCATGGAAAATGCCTCCAGGGCCATGCCCTAGCTTGTCTCTTTTGAACAGATCTATATTTCAAAAGAACAGTGTATAGTCACTGGTCTAAGCAATCCCTCTGGGAGGCTGAGCCAGGGGCTGGCAGTTAGAAAGGTTGGAGGGGAAGTAAGAACCTAAAATTATCCCTGAGGAAAAAGAACCAGCTCCATCTCCCAGGAATCTAGCAGCTCACCCTTGAGCAGGGTTTGTCAGTGGCTCCCAAGTAAATGCCCTCTATGGCCATGAAGCACCCTTTGGATCCACAGAAATGCATAGTAAGTGGAGGTGGGAAGCTCCAGCCTCTGACCTCTCTCATCCCCCTTGCCCCTAGTCATGACAGAATGGTGCAGGCCCCACTTGGCCTCCAGTCTTGGCTGTGGCTTTTGCTGATCATCAAGGCGGTCATTCCCAAGTTAGGTTTTGCAACACCCCAGAGTGTTGCCAGTTATCTCAAAGGGGTATCATAAGATTCTCAACAACTAATCTCTAAAATAAATACATGCCATTCAGTAATTTTTTGTTTCCAGGACATCAGAGTTGGTGGGGGATGGGAAAGGGGTGCCAGGAAGTCAAGCAACTTCAAAGGATGACATTGCTTCAGGAAATTATTCTGAGGAAGTGTGTAAAAATGGTTACATTTTCAAAAGAAACAAGATTTCCCGAACCATCAAACCAAAAACCAAACTCACTGCAGTGGAGTTGATTCCGACTCATAGTGACCCCTCCTTGGGTTTCTGAGGCAGTATCTCTGTGGAAGTAGATTGCTCAGTCTTCCTTCCAAGAAGTGTCTGGTGGATTTGAAACACCAGCCTTCTGGTTAGCAGTCAAATGCCTCAGGTACCACACCATCATAGTGTGCCTGAATCTGGGGAATTATTAGGCCAATAACCAAACCAGACTGAGAAGAGAAAATCCAGGACCACGTTAGCTAAGGCTTTTATGAATGAAGAGACGTTGAAGCACCTGGCATCTGTCCTCCTCTGCTACAGCCCATTCCCCCTCTTATTCCTCACTCTGGTCTCCCCTGCCCAAGCAGCTGATGGGGTGTAGGGCTCCCTCAATTTCTATTTCAGTTATGCTCTTTTTGTGTATGCTTTTGTGATTTTTAATTTTTTTTTTTTTTTTT